CTGGGAGGCAACAGAGGGCTGGCATGCAGACTTGAAGGATAGAAAGTTATGGACCTTGATTTAACACGTTCTTTTGGTACTTTTGAGTTAGATTTCCTCCAACGAGGCCACACCTATTCCAGTAGGACCGCATCACCTAACAACGCCAGTCCCTATGAGTTTATGGGGGCCAGATGCATTTCAACTACCACATAAGCATTTAAGTGCAAGCAACATTTTAGAAAGGTAGGAATCTTTAATACAGACATGAGGAGGTGGTGAGACAGGGAAGCTGCAGCACCAGTAAAGGGTGCATGATCATGCTAACTCCCACTTGGGTGCCTGAAGCGAATCCCATCCGGAAGTGCAGGCAAGTGTAAGTGTACCTTAATCATGGCAGCCAAGCGCAGTACCACTGTTCAAGGACTGGTCTCAGAGATCAATTAAAAACAGAAAAAACTTAGGGCCACATATGAATTCTTATTCCTCAAAACAGTGGAAGTCAAGACATTCTTTTCACATGGAAATCTCCATCTGGCTCATATTTTTAATTTTTAATTTTTTTTTCTGCCTTTAGTGCAGCAAGCAATTGTTAGAAAAGCTAGAGTTGACGCAATAAAAATGAGAAGATACTTTATAATTATGCAATTGGGTAAAGATGGAAATGGGGTGATCTAGAAGCCAGACGCGGTGGCATACACTTGTAAGTTCAGCACTGGGAAGGCCTGAGACAGCCTAGCCCAGTGTGGTAGTCTGAGAGAAAATGGCCCCCAAAGGGAGTGGCACTATGAGGAAGTGAGGCTGTTGTTGAAGTAGGTGTGGCCTTGTTGGAGGAAGTGTGTCACTGTAAAGGCAGGCTTTGAGGTCTCATATGTGCTCAAGCTTCACTCAGTGTGATACTGAGTTCACATCCTGATGCCTTCTTATCAAGATGTAGCCAGCACCATCTCTGCCAGGCTCCCTGCCATGATGACAAAGGACTGAACCTCTGAACTGTAAGCTGCCACCTCAATTACATGTTTTCCTTTGGAAGAGTTTGCTTGATGGGACTGGAGAGTTGGCTTAGCACTGGCTGTTCTTCCAGAGGACCTAGGTTCAATTCTCAACACCCACATGGCAGCTCACAACTGTCTGTAACTCAAGTTCCAGGGGATCCAACACCCTCACACAGACATACACACAGCCAAACACCCATGTACATAAAATACAAATAAATAAATTGTTTAAAAAAAGACAAAAATATTCTTAAAAAAAAGTATTGCCATGGTCATGGTGTACCATCACAGCAATAGAAACTCTAAGACACCCAGTGAGACTCTATCTCAAAAAAAAAAAGAAAAAAGAAAAGAAAAAAGAAAAACTGATGGCCTGAGGAATGACAACCAAGACTTCTGGTTGTCACACATACATATGGACCCACACAAATGCACACATCCATGTCTCTGTGTCTGTTTGTCTGTCTCTCTGTATGTCCATCTCTGTCTCTCCCTGCTTGTGTTTTCTGATGTCTTTGGTCTAAATCCTTCAGTCAAGGCTAAGTTCAGGCAATCCGTGTGATGTCACTGAATGTAGATTTGGGGAAAGATACACACGTGTGCTTGCCAGACTATGAGACACCCCCCCCATGTATGTTAGAAATCACTAAGGAAAACAGGCTTGGATAAAGGGGATAATAGGAAATTACTTTTCAGAAAAACACTATTAGGAGGGTTATAAGCTCATGGTCATAGCCAGCCATAATAAGGCTCTGAAATATAGGAATATTAGAAGAGATAGCTGCCACAAATCTCATGACAGAGGTCCTGAAGGGAAGAAGACAGACTATCTAGTTCCTAGTGATGTAGTTCCTGGAATGTTGGCGTTACTAGTATCAAACCAGGAGCATGGATAATAATAGGGACTTGAAGAGGGAGGGAGAGAGAAAGTCTCCAATTCCATAGGATGTCAGGGACCATTGTCCTAAAGATGATAGCAGGGACCATTGTCCTAAGAATGTTTGCAGAGAGCCCCACATCCCAACTATCTTGAGAACTGTTTGTTAATGGAACAACAAAAAGAATGTTTCCACTTACACAAAAAAACACCAGTTGTGCTAACTGGTGACCTTTGCTACCCCCTACCCCTCACCCCAAGCCAAGTTCCTCATTCAAGGGCTATATAAGCTGTATCCATTACCCTAATAAAGTGAGACCTTGACAATTGAATTCTGCTTGGTCTCCTTTTCTCTCGCCCATGATTCTTACAGGTAGAGCCTCTTCAGACCCTGAATAACTGGACCTGCTGGACGGGTCAATAGGACAAGGTGTTTCTTTGTTTGTAGGTTCTTGTGTGTGTAGTGAGCTCCTTACCACGGGGTCTAGCTGACTGATTCTATGTGCCACCGTGGCTTGCCCACAGCTGCCAGGGAGAGGGCGGTTGCAGGGCTGGGCTGCCGCATGCTTTATCGACTCCACACTCTGGTTGAGTTTCATCTGTTTTGGCTGTTTCTGAGCGCTGGGATTAAAAGCGTGTTAGGATTAAAGGTGTATCCCACCATACTCAGCTAGTTACATATTCTTATTGATAACATTTCTTTCAGCTTATAATTGCAAGCATTTGTAGTTAGTTTTTACAACATGCATATACTACGAAATACGGTCATATACTTTTTCTTGCCGTTGGAAGCTAAATATCTTTAAGCCAGAGAATCCCATTTACTCGATTAGCTCACCGCTGTCTTCACCTACGATTTGCCACTCAGTTTATCCCAGAGGAAGAGTCTCAGTGCCACCAACTCCTTGTTTCCTTGTGCATTATTATTAAAATTCAGCTCGATTCATGGTCTCTGCAGGAATACTTTAAAGCCTTCATTTCATTTTTTTGTGGATTAAAATTAAATAAGGGAATCCGTAAATCCATGCAACTGGTTACATGCAAATTGCAACCTGTCAGAACTCGCTGCAAGAGAGAGGTTGAGAATGGAGGTCAGTGTCAAGGCCAGATCGCTGGCTCTGAGCCGCACTCCTCTCTCCCCAGGATACCACTGTCAACGAACGTCATGAACCAAGGCAAGCTGTCAGTGTCGATCACGTGCTAAATATGAAAGCTTAGCGCCTTCGTTTTTAATAGCTCTAGATGTTTTATTATTTTTGCTCATGCTATGAGGGGGATGTTGAGATACACAGTCATTTTAAGCAGAAGTTTATTTAACAAAGCAGAGGAAGCACTCCAAGGAGAGACTGAAATGAGCGGCCCTTATAAGGGTTCTGTATTTTTTTTTTACTTTTAATGAATATTTATGAAGCAGGCGGAATATTGATGAAATAAGGTCACACTTTTTCCCTTCCAAATCGTGGTGGACCAGATGTCTCTTTTCGCTTGTTTGTTCTCAGGAGCTTCTGGAGAAGTCCACAAGGAGAGGAAGCGCATGCCCTGGGACCTTGATTTTCGCCATAACAGGAGTGACCGATCTACAGCCTAGAGCAGGTTTCATGTGCTGGGTGGCTTCCAGTTAAGTCCTTTTTGAGGACGCTCGAATCCCATGAAGCTGGTCTGTCAGCTACGACATTTTAGTTTTAGATTTGTTTATATTATTTTTATATGTACGAGTATTTTGTCTGTGTGTGTGCATGCATACCTTATATGTGCAATGCTTAAGGGAGCCTTTGACCTCTGACAGGGCATCAGATCCCCTTGAACCTGGATTTACAAATGCTTGTGAACCACCATGTGGGTGCTGACTATGAAACCCACACCTTCTGAAAGAGCAACAAGCATTCTTAACCACAGGACAATTTCCCCAGCATTGACATTTTGTTATTTATTTTAAATTTTTTTCCTAAATTTTTATTTTATGTGTATGGATGTGTACCGCATGGTATTTGGTATCATGGAAGCTAGAAGCATTGGATCTTCTGGACCTGCAATAACAGACAATTGTGACCTGCCTGTGTGTGCTGGGAACTGAAGCCAGGTCCTCTGCAAGAACTCATTCCACACATTGTTATTATTTTTGTAATTGAGGTTTTACAATGCAAACTGAGGCTAGTGTTAGGTCTAGTGGGGGTGGGGGGGTCGTGCAAAGATGGGGACAGACCACCAATAAACCAGAAGCAAACTTTATTCCAGAAACCAGAATCCAGGAAAAAATTTTAAAAAAATAAAATAAAAAATCTCCATGGGGCACAAAAATCTTATCAGCTAGCAGAGACCACAGCCAGGGATGGATTTTGTTAGGCTGTGGCAAAGGCCGGTTTCTGGACTCACCTTTTTATAGTAGGGGCACCAAGCATTAGGTCTGAACAAAAGAATCTTTACAATTTCAAGGTAAAGCTCAGATACAGATTGCCTTACTTTACAGTCTCCATTAACAGAGTTTTTCAGTTTTTCTAGTGTTTGTACTTAATCTATTGTCTTTCTTGGTACGTCCAGGTAGTGTCTCTCCTCTTTGATGCTGCCAGTTTCACATAGCAGGGATACTGCATAACCCAGAGGTCATATATCCATTTCCTAAAAGTTGGCTCAGCTCCTATCCATAGGCTAGCTCTCAGTTTGCAGAGAGATGTTTTGGCCTTGTAAAGAGAGCTATGGGTTGTAAAGCGGAGTAACCCACTGTAGTTAATCCTTAAGCTGCTGAGAAAGCTGCTGACAGTCTGTTCTCATTCTCCTAGGCCTACAACTTTATATTTATTTCTACATTCCTATTTCTACAATCTACATTTTTATATTCTTATCCTTGGACCCTTGTGTCAGGATTTTCGATAGACTGACTGGCAAGCTAAACAAATAAGAAACGGTCCTTGGGCTGTGCCTAGGACCTCCTTCTCCTGGCTCCCCCATTAATGTCTATCACTTATCTAGTACTCTGATGGGAAGCCCCTGGCCTGGGAGTTGCCCCAGTCCACACTCCAAGTCCCAGGCCTCCAAGCACTGACACCTCCCCCAGGGAGGACCAGGACCACGCCCATAGGCTATTTAGGTTGGCACTAGAAAAAGGAACACGTGGTTTCAGCTTCCGCAGTACCCTTTAGCTCCTTAAAAAGACAGAAGACCTTCCACCTCCAGGCCTTGCCTCTGGGTTTGGCAAAGCAACACACACAGCAGAAAGCAGCCTTCCACCTCTTCAGCTTCCTGGATGCCTTTCGGGGAATCAATCTTCTCTCCCAGCCAAGACAGGTAGACTAATCTTTCCCTCACCCACAGGAAAAATCTTTGGGCCTCTTGTACTCAGCAGCTAATGGCAAGCACTACTTCTAAGACTGGTATTCTCCAAAGACTAAGGAGAGGATTTGGGATTGCCTGCGTAGCTAAAAAAAAAAAAAAATAAAAAAAAAAAACTGTCTCATTTTTGCTCATTTATCCCTCCCAGATCTGTCTAATGGCATTTGACAACCTAGGTACTGTTAACTTATTACTTCATCCATGACATTTAATGAAGTTTCCTGCTAAAATACAGACAGGTATGCCTCCTTAACAGGCTTCATAGTCCAGGATTCACAGGTTTCAAGTGTGTCTTCAGAGGTTCAGAGTTTCTAATTTCCTTTAATTGTCTTCTAAAATCTGTTCCAGTTTTCTTAAAGTTCTTCTACACTGAGCCCAGCCAGTTTCAAGCATATTTTACAGGTCACTCCTACTACCTGGGCCAAGACCAACTCACAAAGTGCTCCCCAGACAACACCAAACACCTGCAACAGCTCCTGAGCCTTTACCATTGGTACCAATTCTCCTGGATTAAGAACACCTGCCAACTAAAAAGTGTTTTAAAAACCCAGGGTTTATCTGCTATTGTGTCCCATCCCATGGCTAGACCCATTTCACAGGGCCAATAATAACAATATTTTTTTTCTCCTAGCCACCTGCCTTCTCATCTCCCTCAAAAAGCAGCTGCCTAAGGACTCCGGGATGACAGAAAACCAATGCTGCTCCAGCCACACCTCTCTCAAAGTGTGAGTGCACCACCTCTCAGATCTCCCCTCTCCCCTGTCGCCCCATGCCTGCAGGAAGTAGCCAGACTTGAGCCAATGCTCCTTTATCCAAAGAGAGCCTAAAATGTTGGTTCTAAATATCACCTCAGCTCCTTGTCATACCCCTATATCCAAAGAGCCTGGAATGTAATATTAAGTTGGGGGCATCACCCTAGTCCTCTAACAGTCCTATATCCAAGAAGTCTGGGATGACTGGAAGCCCCTGGACCAGGAGTTGCCCCTGTTGTACTCCTACTCCCAGCCTGTCAAGCACTGACACCTCCCCCAGGGAGGGTCAGGACCACGCCCACAGGCTATTTATGCTCGTGCCGGAAAAAGGAACACGTGGTTTTGGGTTTGCAGGGGCTCCTCTTCCCGCCCTGCTGTCTCGGTCCACCTGAGAGTGCCGCATTTATTAAACATGGGCATTTTAATTTGGTCTAATCTGGTCTGATTGGAGTTCTTTGCATTGGCGGAGTGGCTTTTCTTAAGATTAAACTAAATATATTCACACATAATTAGAAGATTTTAAGCAGTCTCTGGTTTTTGTGTGTATCTGTTCAACCTATCATCTAAATCCTTCACTGGCAGCAAATACTAACTGAACTAGTTACTTTTTTTATTTCTCTGACAAAATAACATGGCCACAGGCACCTGAAGAAAGAGTTTATTTTGGCTTATGATCCAGAGGACTAGATGTCCATAATGGCAGGAAAAACATGGCAGCAGGAGCAGGCAGCTGAGAATTCACATCTCAACCCTACCCATAGGAGGCAGAGTGAAAACTAGAAATGTAGCAAGGCTATCAACTCAAAATCCACCCCCAGTGATGGACTTCCTCCAGCAGACCTCCACGCCCATAATCTCCCCCAAACAGCTCCTTGGACTGGGGACCAAACCAAGAGTTCAAATGCATGAGCCTATGGGGGACATTGTTCATTCAAACCATCACACTGACACGCCGTGTCAAGCAGCCACGAGGGGCCTCCAGCAGCGGCTCCTGAGATGCATAGTCTCTTTTATCAGAGACAGGAGAATTGATGTAGCATGGGTTTGCCAAACTGGATGAAATGCACAGGCTGTAAGAATACAAACAGGCATTGGAAGGATGATAGGGTGGGAGGGAGGCAGTGGTGGGTGTATAGGATCCATATGCATTGTATAAATGTATAAAGCCATCAAATAATTTTTAAAAAGTATTATTAATTATTTTAAAGAAACGGATATTGAGACACAGTTTCAGTGGAGCTGGAGAGAGGGGAGAACAAGAAAAATGTTTTAAAACCTAAACAAAGCAAATACAGTAGGAGGTCGTTCAAGACGATGGCTGTAGCCATCAGGGTGGTGGTGCTTTGTTCAAGGCAAAAATCCAAAAAGACAAGTAAAGAAAGAAAGGAACTTCACAATCATCTTTAAGTCCCCTAAAATTTCTTGTCTGGGAAGACTTAGTAAAAGAATAAGGAAGTCACCCATCTCTTGCTTGCCACCTAGAAATGTGTTCTCCCCCTTCCCCACATCTATCATGGTGATCATTCAAATGCATATTTTTCTGCATATTCTAAAGTAACTTGTCACTTCTTTTGTGTTTTGATAGATGTTTCCTGGTGTTTAACTCCTGACTACTTCTTTTCATACATCTGAAATGTTGTAATTTCCTCGAGACTCGGGGTAGCTTAAGAACAAAGCCACCACTGTTTCTTTTTGATCATCACCTGGTTTCCTAAAGGAGAATGACCCTGGGCATCCAGAAGGTCCCATGATCTATGCTGGAGGTGGCGTATGATGCACCTTGATGAAGCTCTCTTATTACAACCAATGCTTTTGGACCAGTGGCTGAGGATAAAGCGCTGGTAAAGAGAATATATTGATAGTATTTCTTTCAAAGAGCTCAAAGCCTATATTAGTTGTGTGGTCTTACAAGAGGAAAAATGATCCCTATAATCATGGCTCTTATCGTTTTCTCATATCCTTTTTTTTTTTCAATAGAACTTACCAGCAGTCTTAGGTTGAGATTATTTTTATTTACTCTGGAAAAAAAAAAAATGAGGTCAAGCGGCTCACCCAGTTTACACAAAGCTCGCTTCTACAGTAAATTCCACAGGCACAGCAGGTCCCATATTGTGCGATACATGACAAACAGCAGCAAATGAAACAGGTTTCCCCATTTTCTTTAGCTTCCTGTATTTGCTGCCTCCTCCCCTCCACCTGGCCCAGGCTGTGGTGGATTAACAGTCCTAATTTACTTTCTGCTTGGGTTGAGAAAACTCTTCAACAAAATGAAACCTCGGGGGCCTCATAAGAAAACAGAGAGAGGAGGCAGGTTCACCAGAGGATGTAAACCATGAAGATGACCACAAAGTGGGGGAGATGAGGTTAACTAGAAATCCCCAAGCTATAAAGCATGGAAGATGGAGGCAGGAAGGCTGGGGAGAAAGTCACGATAAAGGAAATCCCAAATTTCAGACTATTATATCACCTGTTTGTTGGGTCTTAGAATAAATGAGCCACTATGCTGTCTTAGCATGGTAGATCACATAAACTGGGGAAGATGTGTTTTCTCTAAGCATCAGTCAGTTTCTCTCTCTCTCTCTCTCTCTCTCTCTCTCTCTCTCTCTCTCTCTCTCTCTCCTTGTGTGTGTGTGTGTGTGTGAAAGACACACACATTTATGAGTGTCCAATAAAATATAGGATGGCCAATAAAAGTTGGACTTCAGAGTTTTTAAAATCCAAGTATCTTGCAAGCAACACACGGCACATATTTATACTAGAAATCTCTTCATTGCTCTAACTTGCAGTTTAATTGAATGCTTCGCATTTTATTTATTGTATCTATCAACTCTAACCTAATTAGACTTCAGATCAAGCTCCGATAGCGAATGTAATCCAACTGAAGCTGGGGAGAATGAGAGCGTCTTCGGCTGTTGTGCTGGCCTTTATCGGGATGGCCATCATCTTGTGTTCAGACCTGCATGTTGTAAATAAGTATTAGTGTCTAGCTGGAGTTATCCCAAGTTCACACTTCAGGTGATGGTCCCAATCTGCAGATTCTGGGAAGAGTTTTCAAGCAGATTTAATTTGGAATTCATTCTGTTCTCACCCAAATTACAGAAATGCTCAACCCATCCTGCTGTCACCAAGATAACCCCCTGTGATAAGGTAGCAAACATCTCTAGTTAAATCCTAGAGTGAACTCAACATCCATCTCTTCAAGGACCAAAGAGCACCTACTTGTGTAGGAAGTCACTATCATCATCATCAAGGTCTCCCTGTAAATCCTACTCTTGGAACTTAAAGATTTATCAGAGGATGTTTGTAGAAACTCCTTCCTGGCAGTGAGTTCATTTCAGAGACCATAGCAAAAGGATCAAGTTCAGGTTTAACAAACGGCAGGAGGAAAGAACAAACAGTTCCCTAAACCACATCAGTTACATTTCCATCTGTGTTATTCAATGTTCATTTCTCTGGAGAGCTATGAAATCAGACCCGCTGAGGCAGTAAACTGTCTCAGTGTGTGGAACAAAACTCCCATTCCCACCCACAACCACAAATGTGACCCTCGTAATAGCCCCCACAGTCCACATTAAAGCTAAAAGAAAGTGTGATGGCTTTGCAGGCTATTGGCTATACTTTGGGCACACGCACACATGCGTGCATGAACACACACATACACACACCTAGAGATTTAAAAAATGCTATAGAATGTACTAAACTTTGATTTTCTAAATCTAACCTTCCTTAAGTTTTTAATTAAGGTGAAGCTCACATAAAATAGAGCATTTCAAAGTGGACAGCATAGGGGTGGTGGGTGTGTTCCCGATGCAGAGTATCCTTTGTGTCTCCCCAGATGCTCCCATGGCTCTCTTTCTACTACCCATTGAGTTGCTGTTCCCCATTCCCTCCTGCTCTGCCAAGTTACCAGTCTGATCCCTATCATTGTGAACCTACCTGTGACTGCTATTCCACGTAAAAGAATCCTCTGCTGTCTTTTGTGTTCACTTTAGGCAGCCTAGTACGATAGTAGGACAGCCATTTTGTAGTACAAATCAGCACTTCGTTGCTTTATATAGCTGGATAACAATTTCCTTACATTTTAAACTTTCATTTGTAAATCTTATTTTAATTCCCAGACACTTGGACATGTAATTTTTTTGTATTTTCTTACTTTATTCATTTTTTGAGACAGTATCATACATCCTAGCCTGGACTTGAACTCATTGTGTGGCCAAGAATGACCTTGAACTTCTAATCCCCCTGCCTCTACATCCCCGAGACTACAAAGGTGTGGCTATGTGTGGTGTTGAGGAGCCCAGGATTTCATGAACTCCAGAAAAACACTCCACCAACTGAGCACAATCCTATGCCATTTTGAGTAATTTTTAAATGGACTTCTATTTAGCCTATGGTTAAAACTCATTGAAATTCCTTTAAATTTTCCAATAGTATGTAGGTTAAATGTATTCAATATTCTTCAATTCTTCAGTGAGCATCTTAAATGAAGTATAACTCAGAAGAAGACACAACTCTTTAGCTTCCAGTTCCCTGGTTGCCACAAGTGAACAGGGCTGTGTAGCTCCCACCAGCTCAGGAGAACACGGCTCACAGCCCAGAAGCTTGCCCTTGCCCCTTCACTTCTTCCTGGTAAGGAATCACCTGCTATCTTTACATCCTGAACATGGCTAATTTTTGATATGTTAAACTTATCTCCTAATGTCCCCTGTAGTATTTTCCAGACACTTTTTTTGCTTAACAAAAAACAGGGGTTGCTAAGGACAAGATTCAGAGACCCCACCCTACCCACCCAGAACTTGCCTTCCTCCCTGTACACACCAGAAGCAATTCCCTCCCTCTGTGCTGAATAGACAGCACACTTTGCTCTTGGTGTGAAAGAGCTGGGGGTGGAAGGAAATGGCGCTGTGGATCAGTTATGGCCGAGTTCAGTTTGAAGATCAGTTGCTGCGAGCAACGGTATATCAACTACCCACAGTAGTGTGGGAAGTTCACTCTTTCCTTTTGGTAAACTCTTTAGGTGTGTGGACAGACTAGAGCTGGCAATGGTAGAGGGATGGTAGGGGGCTAGATGACCACTTCAAGAACCCTTATTTGAGTTTAGGGTTTGTGTTCTTGCTTTTGTGGGGTTTTGTTTGCTTGCTGCTGCTGGAACTTGGACCTAGAGCTCAACACATGACATGCTAGGCAAGATCTCTAGCCCTGAACTAGTCCCCTAGTTGTGAGGCTCATATTCTTAATTTAGTCCATTTATATTAGCTCTTAACTTGAGGCTCTTTGTGAATTTCACACTGTGCACTCTAATCTTACTCATCTCCCTGTTCCTACATATCTGTTCTCTGCTCTTGCAACTTGCCCTCAAAATAAAATAAAATAAAAATCTCGAAGTGAAAGCTGTGGTGTGACACATAGTACACCTACCCCTTTGCACAAACAGTTTTATTTGCAAATGTCCATTGTGATGAATGGTTCAAAGCCTCTGGCTTCTGTGTACTATCAGTACTGGATCCTCAGTGGACTTCCCTCGGATATCCTTTTGACCTGTGTCATGGAGCTCCTGAAGCTTTGGTTCTGCGGGACTGGTCCCTTCACTTGCTCCAGTAGTTCCCAGATGCGGTAAATGCTAGGGTGGGCCAACTCAAAGCCCTTGGTCTGGGACTGGGTCGTAACTGAGTTGGTCAGCCTGCCTGCTCTCTTGCACCTGAGCCACCAGGGCCAGCCCGACTGTGCTGCCCAGGAGAGGGGCAGGGTTGCTCTTCTGAGTACTGCAGCTGGCAAGGGAAACTTGAGAATCTTTACATCAAAACTTGACTGTCTGTTTTCAGTAGTGGAAGTTAAAAAACAAGGCTGTGGGCATGTTAGGTAAGCAAGTGCGCTGAGCCACATCCTCAGCCCCCAAAGTTGCCTGTTTTCATATACCTGCAGATTTCCATGCTGCTTCTGCAAATCTGAGAAAAAGGTGGTTTGTGTGTGCGTGCATGCTTGTGTGTGTGCCTGCGTGACCACCTTACTGGTTGGTCCTGGGAATTTCTCAGAGACGGTGCTGTCTTATTTTGCTCTTGGCCTGTGCTTTGGGTAAGAAGTCCGCATGTTGTTTCTTGTCCCGTGACTCCGCACTCATTGAGTGCCGGTCACAGGAAAAGCAGGGGAAGGATTTCAGATAAGCAAGACACAGCTCCCGATGTGCTGTTCTTAGACCTCACCGGAATTCAGTCACGCTTGCTGGAGAGGAAGATAGAGCAGGACAGGAACACATGAGAAGTGGAAATACCCACTCCAGCCCCGTGTTTGCTATGTGCTTTAAGCTGCACTTTCTCCGAGGATAGCTGGGAGACCACGGAGAGCTGATGCCTTCTTTCCTACCGAGAAAAACAGAACATTTTGCCACAGAATCCAGGGAGGGCTTGGTAGCGTAAAAGTAGTTTAAGATGTAAGGCAAAATAACAAATATTATTAACTGTACTCATAGCATCCTTTAGCACTATTGCCTATAGACTGCCTTTGGGAAGGAGTTCTTACAATGAGAAATGCTTTATTATTGTAATAGAACACTCAGTTATCTACTCTGATGAGAGGTGGAGGGGGTTCTAAATTCATTGTATTAATTTAGAGTTGAGAAGAATGATTACAAACACAGGCCACCTATGGGTACCACATAATACGGATGATATAGTGAGGTCATAGTGGGAGTGTGATGCGTCCTATTTATACAGTTCTAGCTACAAAGAGTATATTAGGTATTTTGCAGCCAAGACTCAGAAGCCTAAAACAAACAAGATTAAAATCAGTAATAAAGCAAATCAGAAGGAGCCAGGGAAAGTCAGCAATAAATCTGATGCAAAACCAGTGTGATCTGCCTAAGGCCTTTTAGAATTGGCTTCAGGCTATGGCTTTTCTTTGCTTATTTTAGTGATGGGGGGGGGGGGGGTAGAGGGGGGGGGGGGGGTTGGTGCCTGTGAAGGAGAGGGCAGAGCCATCCTGTTATTATAGGGAAGGACAGAATTTCCATGACTCAAAGATCCTTGTGCAAACTGTCCACAGGCGTGTGTGTGTGTGTGTGTGTGTGTGTGTATGTGTGTGTGTATGTGTGTGTGTGTGTGTGTGTGTGTGAGAGAGAGAGAGAGAGAGAGAGAGAGAGAGAGAGAGAGAGAGAAAGAGAGAGAGAGAGGAAGTCTCCCCATAGTCACCTACCAGTGCAACTTACGATCATACTTAGTCAAGAAATTCTTCCTCTTCCTCTGTGTAACTCCATATGTTTTTTTTGTTGTTTTTTTTTGTTTGTTTGTTTGTTTTTGCTGGTTTTTCCATTAACGTTTTTATTGTTTTCCCAGGTTGGCTCTCAACTTCCAAACTTCTTTCATGATTCCTTGAAACGAAACCCTCAAATTCTGCCCCACTGGACAGAAGTAAGTGTATTGGGATCTAGTTCTGCCTTTTGTTACTGATTCAGGAATGGAGAAGCTGAACTTAACAGTGGTCCAGGGTTCGTTTGATGTAACTGGAGGTTTCTCTCCTGCCCGCCTGTTCCCAAATAACCACTCTGGGGCTTAACATTAATTATAATTGCTTGGCTACTGGCTCGGGCTTCTTACTGGATAGCTGTTACATATAAATTAACACATAAAGGAAAGACAAAGACTCAGGTGCCAGAACCCGGAGAGCCCAGAACAGCCATCAAATTGCCCAAGCTGCAGACTCCGGTTGCCTTTTCTGGTTGTGGAGGGTTGTCAGAAGGAGTCCACCAATCAGGCATCTCTGAGACGCTGTGGGCCACTGAGATGTGGGACCCAGCAGCCCAGGCACTTCGGCTGGATAACCCTGGCTCCACGGTATTCACAGAGGACTGCAGTGTGCTGCTTAAGTTGGTCATGGCTGGCAAAGTGACCAGCTCCCTGGGCCAGAGGCTGCCGCAGAAGGGCGATGTGGAGATGTTGTGTGATGGACCACGGTGCCAAGGTCTCAGCGGCCTGAACCATTTCAATTCCCATACTAACTACAAGTTCAAAAACTCCCTGGTGGTCTCCATCCTCAGCGACTGCGATTACTACCGGACGCATTTCTTCCTGTTGGACAATGGTCAGGAACTTGATGTACTTAAAGCGCTCCGTGGTGCTGAAGCTCACATGCTGCCTAGTCCGCATGGGCCACCAGTGCACCTTTTGTGTGCTGCAGGTTGGACAGTATGGTGTGGAACAGGCGCGGAGACGGGCCATCATTTTGGCTGCAGCCCCAGGAGAGAAGCTGCATCTGTTTCCAGAGCCTCTGTATGTGTTTGCACCTCGCGCCTGCCAACTGAGTGTTGTGGTGCATGACAAGAAGTTTGTTAGCAACATCACCAGGTTGACCTTGGGGGCCCCTTCCGAACCATCATCGAATCATACCATGTCTGACCTCCCTGAGATCCAGAAGGGACCCTCGGCACCTGAGATCTCCTACAACGGAGAGCCACAGTCCTTGTTCCAGAGGCAGCTGCGGGGCTCACACTCCCAGCCCATCCTCGGGGATTATATCTGCAAGGACATGAGCCCATTGGTGGCTGCCAGCCTGCGGAACATTCCACTGCTCCCAGGATCAGATTGGCGTGACCTGGCCAATATAGAAGTGCTGCCGAGCGACGGTACTAAGACCAGAAACTGTGCTACACTTTCTATGAGAAGCAGAATGTGCCATGCGTGGGGTCTGTTCCTGTATGGAAGCTGCAAGTCCTGCAACCCCACAGCCAGGCAGTTCAACACCCTCATCCCCTGGTGCCTGCCGCACACTGGAACCGGGCGCAAACACTGGGCTGGCCTCTATGGGCGCCTGGAGTGGGATGGCTTCTTCAGCACCACTGTCACCAACCCTGAATCCATGGGCAAGCAGGGCCGGGTTCCCCACCCAGAGCAGCACTGGGACGTTGAGCCTGTGGGAGTGTGCCTGCTCCCAGGACTTTCCGGACACCTACTGGCAACATCCTGGACAGACGCTGGCAGGTGAGTAATGCCGTGCCACCACCATTGGCCAAAGCCATGGGCCTCGAGATAAAGCTCTGTATGTTGGCCAGAGCTCAGGAGATCACCTCGGATGCAGTTAAAGTAAAAGAGACTGCCAGGACGAAATAGTTCTGCTCTCTTCCAGAACCCCACATACACTGTTTTTAACCTGTTGAGCCCAATGATTTGCAATGTTGTGCACAGTGTCTGTGGCCGTGGCTGACAGTAAGCTGTTTGTGTGAGGTTTACTTTGTGATCAAGCCGTGCAGTACTTTGTGCATTCTGGATTTTAAAGAGTTTTGGTTTTTGATTCTGTATTCTATCTGATCTGCCGCTATGCAGGTAGCAAACAAGACTTGCTGTAGTTTTTATATGTTGTAATATTTCTTCAAATAAAGCGCTTTTATAAAGCAAAAAAAAAATTAACCCATTTGTAATAATATGTGTATCGCTCCATTGGCTGCTGGCATCTCCCAGACTCCTCCTTCTTTCCTCCCTGTCTCTATTCTGCCTTGCTATTGGCCAAACCAGCTTCTTTATTAACCAATGGTAATAAGACATATTCACAGCATGCAGAAGGGCATGCACGTTGGTTGGGCCCAGCTATTTCAGTATAATATATCACAAAGGGAACATT